CTATGGGACATATGCTGAGTTGAAATTCCTCAAGAAAACAGTAATAAGTAGATATAAATATGAATATGAAAGACATTTATGTCTGACCTGGATGTCCCCACAACACAAAATGCCTTTTCTACACGCACACCAGTACTTTTCTGTTACCAGCTTTTAGGTCCTTTGTTTGGTCATAATCATGTGACTTTAAAATGCAACGTAAGAGTCCCTGTATCAAAAAGAAGTCCTCTCAGTGACAGGCTAACAAACATGAGTGTGAGTGTGTGAATGCTTGTGCACATTGTCCTCATTCAGTTTCCATGAAGGCCTCATGTGCTGGAGAATGACTGATTTTAATCTCTGTCTTTTCCTGCCTTTGGACAAACAGAGCAGAGTTAGACAGGGATATCAATCCATCCATCCGTCCATCCATCCATCGTCTGACTGTTATCCTGGCCAGGGTGGGGGGGCCTGGAGCCTATCCCAGACAGCCCAGGGCAGAAGGCCAGGGTGTGTCCTGGATGGCGGTCCAGCCCATCACAGGCACATTCACACATACTCTCACACAAAGTCATACATAGAACAACAATATGAAACCAGTAATTTTTCCCAGTCCGTGTCCCCTGACTGACAGCCATAGATGCCTTTGTCTCACATGTGAATGTTTAATTAGCATGTGTAACATAGAAAAAGAGGCCCAACTAACAGCAGACTATGAGAGCAGAGTAGGCAAGGTGATCAGTGTAAAATGAAAGAGCCATCCAGGCAAATAAATACCGTCTGTGTAGCATGGATGAATGAGCACTGATTTCCTAAAATGTGAATTGCAGTTTAAAAAAATCCAGATGCCTGTTATATTGTCAGTATATTTCTTATATGAGAGTGATTTGAAGAGGTAAAATAACAGAGAGTAATAGTGCCATATCTTCTTCCTGGTCCAAATGATTTGTGTGGAATTTCAGTAATAAAACAACAGGACTTTTGTTTTCAACTTGAAATGAACCAAGATTTTGAAGAGCAAGACTCAGTGAATATGTCACCCCACATTCCCAGGTAGACTGTGCTGCAGTGGATGTACTGAGTGACTGAATTCCCAGAAATCTTTGTGATTGTAGCACAGGACCGGCTGTAGCTACAGGCAGAACAAACAGCTGCCAAGGGCCCCGAATCACCTGCTTTGTGGAAGAAGTGGGGGCCCCAACTAAAGCTTTGCCTAGGGGCCCTTAAAAGGTAGAAGCAGGAGTGCTCTAATGGAAGGAAAAGTGAGGACGATTCCAAGGGCCCTTGTCAATCAGGGGCCCTTAAAAGAATTGGAACATAACTAGATTGGTCTGGGTTGGGGGCCCCATATTATATGCTTTTGTGGGACCCAAAAGTTATAGCAGTGCCCCAGGATAGACTCAGCCTTGTTGTAATGAGATATTTACCCCCTTCTTGCACTGACATATTCAGTTAACACTGGTGTTAATAATCAGTCAGCTGATCTCATGAGGTATCCAAGTCTGTCCCCTGCTCTCTGTGCCCCAGTGTCTCCCCACCTGTTGTAATGGACACTGCAGTAACTCGCCCCCCAGCAGTGACAGCAGCAGCCTGTCTCCCCCCCAGGTGCCCGACAGGTTTGTGGAGGTGTCGGAGCTGGCCTTGAGGGAGTTCCTCAACGCAATCCAGGCAGGGCGCGACACTGACCCCTGCTGGAAGAAATCTATATACAAGATCATCTGCAAGCTGGACAGCCCCGTGCCGGACAGCTTCCGGCTACCTGGGTGCCCCCTGAGCGCCGCCGCTGCTGAGTGACCTGCTGCACACACAGCCAGACCTGAACACAGCACACTCCCAGAATGCTTAGCGTGACGCAGTGTGTGACGTCACACTAAAGAAGCGCAGTACACACTTCAGCTCAGAATAACTAAACTCAAAACACAAATATTAAATATAAGAAAAGGTAAACAATCATTAGAATGGCAGCATTTGGGGCCGTACATAAGGTTCAGTATACAGTACTGTGCCAAATTCTAAGGGAGAGAAAGAAAATGTTTAAATGATCTTCATGCTGATGTTATGTCTGCCAAAGTGTGTCAGCTTAGCCATTTCATAACCTCTCCTAAAGTCACCCCAGCACTTGCAGCACCGTCCATTACACACATTTTTTTTTACCATGACTTTGTTTGGCTACTCAGTCCCTCACAGAGTTATTTAACAAATAAATTCATGAATTGAGCTGGTGGTGATGGGTATCAATGACTGAGGTGCCCCAGAGGAGAGGTTTGGGAAACACGGCGGAGGTCTTATAGCCATCCAACAAGATATCAGCGACGTTTTGCAGAGAAAGTAGTAATTCTTCATTACTTTTTATTGTGTTAATGTTAATTTGCATATGTTCTAATATAATAGTTTTTTTCTTAGCAAATATTCACTTACTACCCAGAAAAACACTGTTAAATATTTTCTTTGACTGCTTAAGACTTTTGCACAGTACTATATTTATCAATCCTTTACCTATGTCATCTATACCTAACTGTTTACCTGGTACAGGGTTATGTTGAGATTCACCCTAAATAACTAATTAATAACTTGTGGCCTGTACACACACACACACACACACACACACACACACCTGAAAGCCTACAGAGTGTCTACAGAGAATAGCAGTGATGGTAGAGAGCAGCTCAGACTGTGATGTATATACCTAAAGACCTAACAGGAGAGTGAAGAACACCACTGCATGCACATGGGATGTGAAAGACACACATGACGGTATTTCAATGGGCAACTGGGAGTGTAAATGTAAAAGAATGAGGACCTGGATCCTCATGGTCTCTCCTCCAAGGTCTGCTGCTGGACCTTTATCTCACGCTGAATTGCCTAAATTACTTGTAATAATAATTACTTATAATAAATAACAACAACAATAAACTTGGGTAAAATGTATTTTGCTCTGTATTAGGGGAACAACCCCCTATACCAACTGAAATCTCTGGAAAGACATACTCAGTGATGAATGTATGTTTATTGCAAATTGTACTGTACAGAGAGTTTCCTAAGTGTATTTTATGGTTGACATTCCTTGCTACTGCATTTCCACAGCGACTTGTGCATGGATCAGAGTACCATGGTTTATGTAATACACAGCATCACATTTATGTCGTTCATTTTTTTTATGCTGTTGATTTATAAATCACTACTCTTGGTACCTGAACTATGTTTAGCAAATAAATACAAATGGTCTCTGGGACTAGAAACAAATGCCCATACATACAGTAAATACATGTATCGTTTGTGTTTTTGTGTACACATTTTGGTAGCCTGTGATTTTGATTCAAGTCAGTTTTCTCAGATTTAATTCACTTTGTTATTGCTAGTTAAAACTAAGAAAAGGAATTTAATTGCTTTTCAAAGGAATAAATTATAAATTAACATATTAATCTAGATTATCTTCATCTGTTTGTCTTCCATAACTTCCAGTACAAGGTCAGAGTGAGACTATAGCCTATTCCAAGAAGCACAGGGACAATGAAAGAGCAATTGGAATGGGATGTCAGTGGGATGATAGGAACAACAATTCAGATTTATGCATGTTTTTGTACTTTGGGAGGAAAATGGAGCATCTAGAGGACAGCAAACACTGAAATAACATGCAGAATTCACACATGCAGAAAGAACATGCAAACTGCATACAGGCAGAATCAACATGCAACCTCCACACATGCAGAAACAACATGCAAACTCCACACATGTGGAACAAACGTGCAAATGCCACACACAGAAAGAACATGCAAAGTCCACATACACAAAAATAACATGCAACCTCCATACTCTCAGAATGAACATGCAAATACCACACACACAGAAAGAACATGCGAAATCCACACATGCAGAAAGAACATGCAAACTCTGCACACAAAAAATATGCAAACTCCACACGTGAGGAATGAACTTGCAAACTCCACAAATGCAGAAAGACCATGCAAACTCCACACAGGCAGAAAGAACACACAGACCCCCTCACACACAGAAAGAACATACAAAATGAACATGTAAACTCCACAAATGCAGAAAGACCATGCAAACTCTACACAGGCAGAAAGAATATGCAGACCCCCCTCACATACAGAAAGAACATGCAAATTCTATAGACACCCAAAGAACATGCAAATTCCACACACAGAGAAAGCACATGCAAGCTCCACACACAGAGGGCTGGGGTCAGAAGGCAAAAACACAACCTGGGGGGTGTGAGAGTAGCGTGCTGCCTTGTGTAATCTTTTAAAAAAGTACAGCATGCATTTATACATTTGCTAGTGCTGCTGAGGAAGCTCCAAATAACCAAAAGTATGCAGATGATACTGCCGTCATTGACATCATATATTGCACAATATCACCTAGAGGTGGACAGAACCTGCAATGGGTTTGCCCCTGGTTCTGGGTTATTCCCTGTCTTGCTCCCATAGCTTCTGGGATAGGCTCCGGACCCCTGTGATGTTGCATAGGACAAGCAGGTACAGAAAATGGATGGATGGATGGATGGTGGACAGAGCAGTCACCTGGTGTTCTGACAATGACCTCCACCTTAATGTATTCAGAACCTTTGAGATCATTGTGGACTTCAGGCACTCCCAGAACAACAAAACCCATCTACAGTTCCATATAACGGCAGTTCAACTTGCACCACCTGATCAAGAAGGCAAACCATAGATTATATTTTCTTTGGCAATTAAAGAAGTACAGTGTCAGGTGTGTCCTGCTTGTATAATTCTGCACCCCCATCGCAGAGCATCCTGAGATGTTCTATTCCAGATCAGTATGGTGAAATGGATTCTGTCACTAAGAAAAAACTACAACAACTTCACAAAGGCCTCCAAGACGTCAGGTGCTGCCTTTCCGTCTGAACACCTCTACATCCAACACCCCCCTAAATGTGCCATAAGGATTACGGAGCCCCCCTCCCATCCTGAACATGATATTTTCAGCTGCCTCCTTCAGGTAAACGACTCACATCACTCATAACATAAACAACACGCTTCAAGAACAGCTTCTTCCTCAGATCTGTCAGAGCTGCTCCTCCTGTTTGTAATCATATTCAAGAATGCAACATATCACCTTTGAAATGCTAACCTTTGCATGTGCACAAACTCCTGCCAATCTTTATGCACAGTAAAATTGCTCATTGCACATGGTGTACAGTGGGTGTATGTTATGTTATATGTCCAGATGTATGCTGTCTGTATTGTGCCTGTGTCAACCTTCTGCATTGTACTACTTGAATATGCACAAACTTCTGTATTTATCACGTCCCTTGCATTTACTCCTCTCTGTTGTGTGTCTTGCATCTTGCATATATTCTCTGTCAGCTTTATGCCCTAAGAGTCTGTCGTCATGGTGTGTCCTACAGTAGCAAGTTGTGCCTTGGTCATATAGCAGTAAAGATTCTTATTCTGATAATCAACCAAGAACACTGGGACATCTTCAGTGTCTCAATCTCCCTCTATCTGGAAATGTGTGTCATCCTCTGCAATATTTGTTAATATTTCTCCCAGTAATACTTCCTCTTTTTCAGTCTGCATTAAGTTTCACAAGCAGTTAATTTAGCCTGTTCATCTTTACCCATGACAGTCAGCTTATATCTCCACTTGATAAACTGTTTAACTCAAAGTCTCTTGATCTGTGGAATGTCTCCCGTTTTTGGACTTTTCTTAATAATGGCAACAGCAGCACATGGTAAGTAAGATATCACAGTTACTGATCTATGTGACATGGTTTCTGTTTGCTAGGCTTATATATATGTAGTCCTTGTAAATAGGAAGAAGTCTGAATTATCTGTCACTGAAGGCTCAATCCAAAATGCATTGAGTCATGCTGCTAATGCTGGTTACTCCTTCATTGAAAGCCTGTACAGCTCATTAATGAGAGCTGTGTGGCACAGAAAGCTTTGACATGGGGGAAAAGGAAGGAATTTAGGCTGCTTTACAAGACGTCCCTGTAAAGAGACAGACAGTAGCCGTAAACATTAATGTACTTTTCAAAGTAATTTTAGACAATATACAATTTCTTGTCAACAAATATTGGATTATGACAGTCAAAGCCTGAAAGAAACACAAAGGAAAAACAGGAAGCCAGTTATTCAATGTAAGCTAAAAAGAAAGTACTCCTTTTCAGGAAGCTGCTTATTTGTGTGTTTGCAGAGTTGACAGGAGATTATTGGCGTTAAAAGTGCTGATAAAAGTGCTTTAACTAATGTTGAATCAATGTGAATTTAAGCCTATAAAAACATTACAGTGGAAAAGTCTGCCTCTGTATAAGGAACAGCTGTCTGGTAATGAGTTCCTTCCATTTTGCAAGGTTGTGATATTTTTCTTATATAGGCTGGTTAAATGAATTGGTGTTGCTAATCTGCTGATTATTTATATGCCCATTATGGGATGCCATCCAGTACGTTTCCCTGCTCTGTGCCCAGTCAGTAATAGGCTCAGCATTCACTGCAGCCTGTACTGGATAAGGAGCTAGAAGATGGATGGACTCACTATCAGTATCTGCACTGTAGGAAGTATGATATGCGAATAAAATGCCCATTTGTGTTCAATTTTTGTTTGTTTATTTATATATGTTTATTTGCTAAGTGATCTAGTTTGTGTGGCACATGATTTTACCATGTGAGGTTATTTTATTTCCACCAAGCCTGTTCTGTTCATACTTCTTAAATGAGCAGTTGAATCAAATATATATGTATTTTATCCCAGTGAACGCCAATGATGACGTGTCAAACCCTGTTAATACCACTTCCCAGCAAAATGCAGGGCGATTGTCCCACCCAAGATAAATCTAATGAAAGAATCAGAATTCAAGGGGTTTGTTTTAGGACAAATTTTATCAGGCAGGAAGCAAAGAAGGATATTAATTTAGCATTATATTTTCAGACATGAAGCAAAGCACAGTTTGGTTTAGGATAAAATGTATTAGACACAAAGTAAATCAGATTAGGTTGGGTCCCATGTGACCAGAGGCCTGTGACGTCATCGTCAGTGCAGTGTCAGAGCAGGAGTGTGTCCAGCATGTAGCTCTGGATGAGGAAATAGTGTCAGATACAGTCTTGAGGAATGGAGGCTGGTGAGATGGGACCAGGCTGCTGTGGTCTCAGGTATCTGTGGACCAGGCCGCTGTGGTCTCAGGGATCTGTGCTGCCTGGATGATGGCAGCAGCATTTCTCTCTGCTACCCTGATAGCAGACAGTCACCCCCCCCCCACAAAGAAACAGCCTAGGGGTCATGACCTCCTCGTTTGACCCCCGTGTGCCCCGCCCCCCTCGTTACCCCATGTTG